TCGCACTGCTTCAGTGAACACACTAGAACCGTGTAGGTGAAAAAAGCACTCACGAGTGAAGCTGCAATTTACGTGCCGTTAACAATGTGCATAGTGTCACTTCTAGCTACGAGAGTGGGCTAGGTCCTACAGTGTACCAAGACTCGCACACCACAAGAAGGAAGAATTGAACCTCTCGATGAAGCCCATAAGCTTTATTCGACGATTTTTCTTCGTTTTTTGCCACCCTAAGAATTCAGGCAAGGAGTTGCAGCACAGCAGCAGCGGACAGGTCGCTATCCCTGCTCTTGCCATGTACTTCGTGAAGTAACAGGCACTGAATATTTGTAACGTTTGGAAATACAAATCTGTAATTTAATATTGTTGTGTAATGGTTTACAACTATGGGCTTAGCAGTGTTTGAGCGGAAGAGGTAGAGACAAAGCGAAGTAGCGACGACGCTAGAAGTGGGCTGCTGCATATCTGTGGTAAGAGAATATATCATTATTTGCGCGATGGGCGAAATTTCCCTCAGTCGCTAACTCTTTTGTTTATATCAAGTCCCACCATTAGAAGGTACCGACTATGGCGCTGAAGGCGCAGATCTGGCTCTCGTAGAGGCTACCTACGGTGGGTTTCAGATAGAACTACTGCAGTAGAACTAAAAATATACGGAATAACTAGCTACGCCAAGGAAAGCACCAAGGACAAGGTCTTACTTTGTCAGGGGTCATGGCTGCCTTCGCTTAGAATATTGGCAACATTTAGGCAGGGGTAGCCAGCTGTGCACCACTGAAAAGGCTTGCATAAGAGCTCGTAATGGTCGCAGTAATGCGCTTACGTTAACCAAGGGAAGTTTTAGAAAGTAAAACTCATAAATCGGTCCCTGACACTCCCCAAGTAGCGCCATGTAAGCGCTATGTAGGGAATGCTAGAGGCATTCCCCGTAAGCAGCACTTTGGACTGAATTCTCGGCTTCAAAATGTGTCAGCCTGCAAAATGCAAAATGCTCAATGTTTGCACTGAAGAAGATTCCAGAGCTTTAACGGTGGTACATACTCTAGGGAGCATACTTGATACTCAGGGAAGCGACGGAATAGCTTTGCAAGGCATTGCTATAACGGGACTCGGAACCACCGACTTCTTCCTGCGGCTGCAGCAGCACAGGGGGCCCTGCTGCTGCTGGTTCCAGCAGCTACGCCCACACAGACTCTCAAGCTGCTGCCGCTGCGGCTGCTGCTGCTGGAGTTAGCTGCAGTCTTTTTGCTGGGGATGGAGCACCC